TATATATATATATATATATATATATATTTGAATTTTGGACTCATTGATGTGATTATTAATTTAAAGATTTATTTGATATATTTTTAAAAATCAATATAACAATGTCTTTCAAATTGAAGGGATCAAAATGATCTTTTACTAAATTAGGTTAAGTGGTACATCCTCGAACTAAAAAATTTTATTTAAAGAAATTTTAATATTGATATTTTTACATACAGATTCTCCAAAAATATATCTTTCCGATGTAAATTTATGTCAATAAAATTTCTTAAAAGGGTATGTTAAACACCGAATTGATGACCAATAGAGTTTAAGTGGATCAGTTGAACAACGTAGTTGCAATTCACACTTTAGTACTAATTTCAATTCCTATAAATAAATAAAAAGAAAACGCCTAACTGATATACCAAAAAAAAAAATTTAACAGATAATATTAATTGATATCAAAATATAAATTTAATATCATTTATAAAACTAATTAGTAAGAAAAAATATTAATATCAAGTATATTATTGTATCATATTATGAAATTTCCATATAATAAGTTTGTGTATTACTTAGGAACTGCTATGGTACTCATGATAATTGAAGGGTTTTAGTACTTTAAATTATTTGAACAAATAAATTTAAAAGAAATAAATTTAAAATAATATAAATTTTAGATTAAAAATTTGTAGAAGATGAATCAGTAAATTAAAAAGACTAATTCAAAAAAAATAATCAAAAGGTCAATTTTCATAATTTTTTTTTATTTATATGTGAGAATTAAAAAATTAAAAACAAAAAGTATAATAATATTATAAAAATATTAAAATAAGAAAAAAATAAATAATATAATTAAAAAACTAATTTATACCATAAATTTAAAAAATTAACACCAAAGAAAAACTAAAACATAATAACAAAATATTAATATTAAATTATTTAATTATAATAGATGCTATATTAAGATAAAATTTAAAAAAATATAAAAAAAAAATATAAAAATATAGAAAATTTTATAAAAAAAAATTATTAAAAATATTAAATAAAAATAAAAATAAAACAAGTAATTACAATAAATAAATAAAAAATTAGACGGTTGTACCGGTACCCCACAATTATAGGGATCAAAATCCTCTGTCTCCAACTTCTGTCCTCAAACCCTATCCCTCCAATCACAAAATGTCACATCATTACTTTTAATTTTAATTTTGATTTTTAAAAAATGTAACCGGTTACGATTTGTTATTGGAACGTTGGGCAGTTCAACATGACTTTTTCCCGTGGCCTTCACCACCACCATGCTTTCGTGGAGTGTTGTTGAGTTTGGTGGGGTCATGAAGGGTGAGTTGCAGAATGCAAGAGAAGCCATTCGTTGGGCCACAAATTATCTTTTCAAAACCACTGCACATCCAGACACCATTTATGTTCAAGTTACTCTTCTCTTCCTAGTAGTTCCATTTCTTCTGTCATTCTTGTGTTATGTTAAAAGATATATTACTACGGAGGTGTTATTAATGGGTGCGTGTTTTTGCAGGTGGGAGATGCAGTGAAGGACCACGCTTGTTAGGAGAGACCTGAGGACATGAACACCCCAAGAAGTGTCTTTAAAGTAGATAAATTAAAACAGGGGTTGAACTACATAACGTTCCAACAACAAATCATAACCGGTTACATTTTTTAAAAATTAAAATTAAAATTAAAAATAATGATGTGGCATTTTGTGATTGAAAGATATGGATTTGGAGACAGGAGTTGGAGACACAAGATTTTGATCCCAATTATAGTGGGTACCGTAGAAATTTTCTTATTACTAATGTATATCAACATGGTACACATATATAAACATGAGACATAAAGGCAGTTTGGCGTGTCAAGGGACTTCCCTTATGGTGCACTCCATGAATGAAACTTATGAGACACATACAATCCAAAGGAAAAAGCCATAATAGCAGTTCCAACAACTCCCTTGTTTCTCATCAAAACCTCCACTAGAGCTCTTGACACGTTATGTTTTTGCACCAACTTCCTTCTTGTTAATCCATCAGAAAAACCCTCTATGTTATGTGCATTTTCATTTTTTATTTCTTCCTTCTCTCTACCCCAGTCGTGTGGAGAATGATCCCTCTCCTCATTAACCGCATTGTGGTACTCATGATCACTTTCAATTTCTTGAGGCCTTTCAACATTGCCATTCGAAACATTCTGTATCTCATCATCAGTTTCTCTGTGCTCTTGTGAACTTCGCTTGGGGACGTACACGTGAAGGATTTCAGTTTCACTATCGAAGTTTCCGGATATGTTATCCATATCTGAATCCGCTGGCAGTGGAAAGGCAAGTTCAAAGCGAAAACATTTATGTTCATCTGTTTGCCTTTCGCCTTTTACAAATATACGACCAGTGGAGCTATCAACTTGAAGCTCCACCTCCTCCTTTGTGAATTCTGAAGCAAGAAAAATAACAGAGATTCATGAAATATAAGAAAGAAAAATGGTTAATCAAGCATGCAAAATCATAATATAAAAGAGTACCATTTAATAATAGAAAAAAGGAGTTATGGGTTAAGACTTAAGATTATCTTTGATTTGATGTACTCAATTTTTTTTAATTATTTTTAAATTTTAATTAATATAAAATAATATTAAAAGTTAATTATCTTTATAAATATAAAATCTTAAAATTTAAGAATCAAACATAATAACAACTAATCTAATATTAATAATTTTTAAAATTTTTTATTAAATAAAATATAGTAATATATTCTATTAGTAATAATAATAATAATTAATTTATTGATTATATATATATATATATATGTGTGTGAATATATATAAACAAACAACTGCATATTTGCTAGCAATTTCGGTAATTGTGACGTTATTATAAGCATGACCATAGCAACAATAAGAAACCATTATGGGTGTTTGAATATAATATATACCAGGAAGATCTACAAGAAGAAAATGGTGTGCATGGTCCTCAGTCCATGCAGAATTAGGTACGATCTCTTCGACCAGTGGTTCTGGTGATGATGGGCTTGTTCTTGTTCCAACCCGTCTTGTATTTCTACCTGTCTCGATGGCCATTGAGAATGAGTTAAACCAGCACGTAGCGACCAATATAAACCTCCAAATTCCAACGATGTTTGTGCCACAAATATATTTGACAGCGATTGTGTTGTTTGCACGGTTTATAGAAAAACCTTTGGAAGCTAAATGCACTTTTAGGATTGATTAGACTTCCCTGATATGACGAAATTAGATGGCTTGCTTTCAGTGATTCAACATTCTTATTCCATACTTGTTTTGCAAGACCGTGTAAGGTTGTCGCCTAATTGGGTAGTTTCTGACATGCAAAAGCAATTCCTTGCTTTGCTTATTATAATTGTTAATATTTAATGTTCTATCAAATTCAAGGTTACCTATGAATTCGTATTAGTACCAAGTAAGATTAGTCGATTAAGTATATCCTCTAATTTACATAAAATTGAACATAAGTAGTATTGTTAAATCTTAACTTTTTTCTCGGTGTTACATGACTTTTTTTGCGGACCATTGCATTTACACTAATTTTTCATATATAAACAATTATTAAAAACAACGTACATCTTGTCTTCCTTCTCTTTCTCATGAAAGGAATTAAGGAAGGTATAATGGGTGTATGATAAAGTGACTTGGAAATAACATTGCTGGACACATATTTAACTTATTATTATTAGAACAAGCCATAGTTTTTACTGAAACTTCCTATCTCTTATTGAAAACCTTCTATGAACTATCTTTATTAGATATATGATTTTTTGTATTATCGTGGATCAGTTTTACAAAGTATTTATCAAGATTGTTTTGAAACAATTTTTCTTAGCATGTTTCAAAATAGTTTCTCTGATAAATAGTTTGTAAACATACCCACCATGATAAAAAAAAAAAAAAGTATTAGATATATCTGAAAAAAATTAACATTATACTTAGATGAAAAGGTTTTAAATTAATGAGCAATTTAAAATACAAGAGATCGAATTGAATTTTGTCGATTCAGTTCCCTTCATTTCTTAAATTAGCGATTTGGATAATCAATTTGGTGTATAACAGGTTTGAAAGTAAATCTTATATATACTATGTAAACTCTATTTGATTTTAGTGAATTTTGAAATTGGAATTTTATAATCAACATAGAAAGAAAAGGGTCGAATTGTGTGTAATTATATCACTTGAAAAGTAACTGAGTCACTTTTTCAGCCACTAAATGCGCAAGGATATGAGTTACGTGCATGACTTGCTGGATGAATTACGTGCTTGACTTAGTAGCGTCAATCATGGCGGCTTTAATTTGCTGGGTAGTGACGCAAGAGGATGGCTACGGGGGATCCAAGTTAGATGCATGTTGTCATGAAAATGTGTTTGATGTGTTGTAATGGTTTTGGTTTGGACGAGGTCGTCGTTTTGGAATGAACTAATATATCTATTGATGATACCATTCTTGTACCTCCCCAAGGCTCAACCTACATATGTAGAATGACATAGACCTTTTCTCTCACCCTTTTCTATTTTATTTCCTCCAACCAATTGAGACCAGGGATGAATTTGGATTTTGTGGGGTTGGTAATAGGATGCCTATTCCCACTTTACCAAATAAAAATTGGTTTTGTACCTGTCTTATACCGGTAAGATCAGTATCAATATCCATAAATCATATAAATTCGTGAATATCTATGAAAATTTGTGAATTTTTAAAAATTATAAAGATTAAGAAAAAAAGTACTACAAATCACAAACCTAGGCTTAATTGGCCAAAAAGATTTGGCATCAAAACATCCCTCCCTCTAAATCTTTTGTCACGTGGAGACTTCTACATGATAAACTGCTTCTAAGGATCTTCTCTAAAGAATGGGGTGGTTATTACTTACATTTGTGCTCACTTTTATAATGACCATGAGCCTTCTTCTCACATTTTTTAATGTCATTTTGCTTTTAATCTTTGAGATTGGTTCTCTCATATTACTAATCAAAGACTTAGCTTGAGCTATATTCTAGAAATTCTTCAAAAACCATGGTGTAAATTAGAAAATATTGTTCTTTTTGGCAACAATTACCTTCATTATTTCTAAAATTTGGTATAGAAAAAATTAAATAAAATTTAACAATGCATCTATCGACATTAATTTTTTAAAGAATAAGATTTTTTTCTTTAGTAAATTCTTGTTGTTCTTTGTCCTCTTTTACTATGGAATCTAATATTATGGAATTTAAACAAGTAAAGGCTTTTATGGTGCATTGCAGGTAATGAAAAGTTGAATCCATTGTTGAGATTTGTTGGATCCCCTTACTAGAGGTTAGATCAAGTACAATATAGATAGACCTTTTTCTATACGTTCCTTGTTTGCTGCTTGTGGGATTATATTTAGAGACATCTCTATTGATCTTCTAAGGTGTTTTATGGAATCAATTGTGGTCAAGTTAGCCTTTGAAGCAGAACTATTGGCAAACATTCATGTGGTTCAGCTTGCTCGTAATCATGGTCAAATGTCTCTTTGGTTGGAGTCAAATGCTTTACTTGTCATCAAAGCATTCTATGATTCATCACTAGTGCCTTAGCGTATACATGTTTAATGGAGAAATACATTGGATTCTATTAAGCATATGCAATTCAGATTGCTCACATATTTAGGGAGGGTAATGGTTGAGCATACAATTTAGCTAGGTTTGGTCTCTGTCATTTCAGATCTTTTTGGGGGTCTACCATTCCACCTTCTATTATTCATGCTTACCCTAGGGAGTGTGGTCTTCCACATTTTCAATTCTCTTAGTTAGCTATGATGATGTACTAGTTCTTGTTCTTTTTGTTACATTTCTTTTTATGTTTTATATAGTATTAGGTGAGGTGCTAACCTAGTTAAGATCCCTTTTCTGCATTGTGATGTCTTAGCATATTTATTTTTCTTTTAAAAAAAAGTTTAAGCTTAGTTGATGTTAATTATATTGGAGGATTGACATTAATTTTTGAACTTGTAATGAATGTTATATTAAAAATAATATAAAATAAATAAAATATAAATATTTAAGTAATTTTATTTAAGGAGTACTTACAAGTATAAATACTATCATATTCACTTCCACCTTATTTATAAATGAATAAAAAAAAATACACATATTCATTATTTATATATATCCATTTAGGCTACTTATTAATTATGTGTGACAAATTGTATTTACATATATAAAAGAATAATGGCTTTTTTGTCAATCCTAATTGAGACATTGACTTTTTGTAATTTGTGTTTATCAATGGCTTTTGAATTTTAAAATGTTGACTACTACGAGGCTAGTGATTAATTTTTAAAGACTAATGTTATATTTCTTAATAAAAATGGTTAATGACATATATTATTTAATATTTGTTTTAATATATTCTTAATTATACGATGAAATTTATATTAAATTCACTAAATAGGAAATAAATAAAATCACTAAATAAGAGATAAAACTTGCATAAAATCATATAAATTTTATTTTCAATTTAAAAATTTTTCTAATTTTTTAAAGTTAAAAGGGTTTTGTGATTGTTAAAAGGAAGTGCATCCAAAACGGTTTTCTTTTTTTTTTATTATTAAAATTTTTATAGCTTTCATAATATATATTGTATTTGTAGTATTTCAAAAGGTATGTAAGAAATCCCACATTTCCTTATTTTGTTTTTAGTTATTGATTTATATATCAACATGTGATATAGACATTAAAAAGTGACTTGCGATGATTGTGAGGCTCGCACGCATGCCATGTAAGCTTGTGCCTGCCCACTAAATCCAAAGAGAGATATTATTACTATTAGAAGAGTCCAAATAGAGTAGTTTGACTCATCCAATTTTTTCACGGACAAAGGAAATTTTGAAAAAAATATAATCTTTTAGTGGAAGCGGCGAACATGAGATTTGGCAATCATTTATTTTCATGGCGCACTTATATTGTAATACAATCTTATTTCCTATAAGTATCATTATTGTAAAGAGAGGTAGTTATACTTATATCTGTGTATGCACTGTGCATGATCCAGTTCTACGCCCCCCATGCTTGAGAAGCTGCAAAAAGACACACAAATTTCCCATTAGAATGATCAATAAAAATTATAACATGTTTCAAAAACATTATCGTATATAATTTTTGTTGGACTCACCAGCTAGAGAAAGAGCCCAATTGTTATCCGTCCCAAGCTGCCAAGCGAAATACCCAAACAACCCCTGTCGCTTGGCGTAAGCAACCTTAGCAGTCACAGTCTGAACATCATCGTAGCCGTACCAATCCGTCCCGCGCGAGCAGTAATTGGTGACAAAAGTGGAATTATACACAGCCGTGGCCCCCACAGCTTTGATTTGACTATAGCCCACGGCCCCAAGCCCAGCCGTGGCGGCGGAAAAAAGCCCATTACTGTTGCTATTGGCCAACCTCCACTTGTAGCCGTAGAACGGCAAGCCCAGGGCCAGTTTCCCCAGCGGCACCCCGAGCGTCCTGTTCCACGTGAGCACCCCCTGGTCCACGCTGAACATGCCACGTGGGTTGTACAAGGGAGCCGGGGGCTGCGTCGAAGTAGGGTAACCATCGGAAGTGAAGAGGTCGTAGGTCATGAGATTGATGAAGTCGAGGTAGTTGGCCATGTCGGGTCCGGAGTAGTATTGGAGCGGCGAAATTTGGTCGGAGCCGGCAACGGCGGCGGATAAGAGAAGGCGCGGTTTTCCCGACGAGGTGGAGTCCTGTGTGATAGCGGCTTTCCATTCCTTGAGGAGTGCGACGAAGTTGGATTTGTCGGCGTCGGAAGAAGGGTACTCCCAATCCAAGTCGAGGCCGAGGAGGTTGTTGGCTCTGGCGAGCTGGACGGAGGAGTCGATGAAGGCCTTGCGCGTGGCGGCTTGGGAGGCCATTTTGGAGAAGCGCGCGGCCAGGGTGGGGCCGCCGCCGCCGCCGATGGAGAGGAGCGTCTTGACGGAGGGGTTCTTGGCCTGCACGGTTTGCGTGAAGGTGGAGAACTTGGCGGCGTTGGAGGAGGAGATGGTGACCTTGTAGGTGGTGTTGTCGAGGTCGGCGAAGGCGCAGAAGAGGTGGGTGAAGAGGGTGGCGTTTATGTCGGCCACCGCGAGGCCGCTGTCGGAGTACCAGTACCCGCCTTTGATGGCGGCTTTTGTTGGGGAGAAGTGGAGTTGGAGGAGGAGGAGAGTGGCAATTAGAAACCAAAGGGTTTTGGAATTCGCCATCGTCGTTTTCTTTTCTTCTTTGATCGATCGATCGATGCTTCTTGTGGTGTAAATTGGAGTCTCGCCAAAATATGTATTTATAAGTTATTGAAGTCAAACTACCATTCTCACAAGTAAATGAGTCATGTCAAAACTTAGAACGCCATTGCCGTAACGTTTGCATATTGCATGCTGCCACTCTCTCCTTTTCACAACGTGCCATTGTCGTACAAGTTATTTTTCTTTTCTTTTTACCTAGTTATTATATTTATATATGCACTCCATAAATAATTAAGAATATATTTAGATATAAACTTAAAAATATTTTTAAAAGTTTTTTTTTATTATGAGTAAAAAGAATATAAAAAAATATTTCTATTTTATATCCAAAGAGATTCTAAAATTGATTTAATGGTGAGGTTGGAGTGTATAAATACAATTTTAGATTTTAATAATGTTGCTAGTCATCATTATAATGTCAACCAATAAAAAATAAAATAAAATAAAACTAGCCCAAAATAACATTTTATAGTCTAATTTATTTCCTTATTGTGTTTTGTAAAATTAAAAAAATAAAATAAAATAAAATAGTTGAATCATCGTCATTTTCTATTCTCTCTTATATATTATTGACTTAAATTAGTTTTAAGAATTTGACTTTTAGTTTTTATAAAAAAAATTTATCAAATTTTAGTTTTTTATTAAATAACTATCATATAAATTAATTCTTAAGATTAAATCTCTTTTATTAAATGATGATGTATACTAATAAATTATGATTAATTTGATTATTGATATTTACCTTAAATATATTTAATAGATATCAAATCATTTAGTATGTATAATTTTATTATTCGCTCATTGTTCTAGGGGCGAAGAATTATTTTAATAACATCTTTTATTTTCAAAAAAGAATGTTTCACCATGAACGAATAAAAAAATTATACACGACATATAATTTGACATTTATTAAGTAGTCATATGAACATCTATACTCAAGTCAATTATGATTTATTAGTGTATGGGTAAGTGTATGGAGAATACCTTTTGGCTATATCCCTCGGCAGTCAAAGTCCTCAGCATCAAAGACATTAATTAACCCCGTTCAACGCACTCTACGACTGAAGCCCGTTTGGCAGTCGAAGCCCTCAGCATCAAAGATATTGACCCCATTCGACACACTCTATGGTCGATGCCCGTTCGGCACGTTCGACAGCCGAAGCCCTCAACAACAAAGACATCAGCCTCATTCGGTGCACTCTAAATTCGAAATCCATTCAGCATGTTCGACATCCAATAGGGTATAGAAACAAGGTTCCCCCTAAGTGATTATTAATTATCCTTGCTTAGTAATTAGAAGTCAATTACAAGAGTAAAGTCTATTAGTAGCACATTACCTAATTTGTAACCCTAATACAGGGCCCATCGAGATCTGGGCCCATTAATGTCAATAAAAATAGCTCACATCTTGAGGTAAAATTACTATTCATTTATTATCATTATTGTTCACTCACGTGCTGACTTATGCATCGGAATATCTTTTACAGGTACCTCCCCCCTGTCTCACAAATCGGAGCTCTCGTTTGATCCCTAGTTTACAAGAAGATTATGAGTGTATCCTTAGACATGTATAATTAGCATACATAACCACTTAATAAATAATACTTAATTATGAAGATTAATTTATGAAATAAAAAATTAATAAAAGACTAAAAATTGGCTAAAAATTTAAGAGGGACTAAAATTTTTAAAAATTGCATAATTATAAACATATTTATCCCTATACTATTCCAATTTTTAGCATTTTTATTCCTCTACTTTATTATTATTATTATTTAATGTTTATTTTCTGTTGGGATGTAAGCAAAGTCTCACATCGTTCACACAAGAGGATGGACATGGGTTTATATACACACAATTGTCTCCATTGGTAAATAGGCCTTTTGGGTGATGTCCAAAAGAAAAATCGTGGGGGCTTGAGCCCAAAACGGACAATATCTCACTAATGTGGAGACATGTGTGTATGTGTGGTAACCCCCTCCGTGCATAATAAGTGGTATCAGAGTCGATGGTCTGATCAGGTGACCGACTCGACGAGTATGATGGTTGGCAGGTGGATCCAAGTTTGGGATCCCTTGTGTCGAAAGTTTTCCTAAACGGTGGGGGGTTAGGAGGCGTGTCCCGCTGTCATGAGGGAGGTCATGATGGTGCGGCGGTGCAAACACTCAGAGCGTGAGTGAGCTTTGTGGGCCACCAACAGATAATACTCGTAGTTTCCTGCAGGGTAAATCGTGGTCTTTTGTTTAAGGGGAGGATTGTTGGGATGAAAGCAAAGTCTCACATCGTTCAAACAAGAGGATGGACATGGGTTTATATACACACAATTGTCTCCATTGGTAGAGAGGCCTTTTGGGTGATGTCCAAAAGCAAAACTGTGAGGACTTGGGCCCAAAGAGGACAATATCTCACCAATGTAGAGACATGTGTGTATGTGTGGTAACCCCTTCCGTGCACAACATTTTCATAGCTTAGCACTTTCTTTTCCATATTTTTCTATGAGGGATTAAGAGAAAGAGAATATCACTTAATATGTTAGAGTTAATTAACTTGCAACAACAACAACACTTCACTTTAATATCACATAACAACATTTTTGGTTTTTCATAAAAATATTTCTTGATTAATAATAGGAGACTAATTTTTTTTAAAGGCATAGAAAACATCAAAGTGAGTTGTCTCTTCATACATATCAAAAATCAAACTTCAAGAAAAATGTTTAGATAATTCAACTATTCACCAACTATATTTGACAATATTATTCATACATCACATGACAACAAATTGGTATAACACCTTATTCTGTGTCTTTATTTTGTTCTCACTTCTCACTACAAGAAAAGTGGCTTATACTATATGGTTGTTTTGATCTTATAACATAATGATTGTAGGTAAAACTAAAATTACTTCTATGTACCTACAAGTATTAGTGTTAGTAAAACTCAAAATACTTATACTTACAACTATTTATTAAAATTAAAATCTACAAATCATTTCCATATAACTCACATAATGGACGATATAGATCATGTGGATAAATGTAAAAGAGACAATTAATTACAATTTTTAACTTTTAGTGACAATTTATGTTTATTACTACATGTCAATTTTCTTATAGTATCTCTACACTATTACTATACCTTTCGGCCTTTTTTTTATTATATAGTAAATTTTTGTTTTGGTCATTTACTGTTGAAGTTTAAATATGAATGATTAAGATTAAAGTTATTTAATGATCACATGACTAACTACTTAAAAAGTCATTGTAATTTAATTACAATTATTAATTTATTATTGTGTCATCAATCCCTCTCTCCTTATCAATCTATTAATAGTTGTGTTACTTAATAAATTGTCCAAATTTTAGCCATGAATATATATTAATGTCATGATTTTCCAAAAAAACAAAAAAAAAACTACAAAATGAATTATCATCGTTCCTTCGGTAGGAGAAATATACCAAATAATACAATTGTGATTTACTCAATATTTTCCATTGTTTGAATAGAGTTTTGTTTTTATTTATTTTTCATTTTTTAAATTTTAAGATAATATTTTGTTTGTCAAATATATCTTTATGTATGAGTAAGAGCACTCGGCCATCGGATAGCCGACACCCGATCGGCCACCGAATAGCCAAACCTAATAACCGACAGCCGATTGGCTATCGAGTAGCCGAAGTCCCAAGTGCAGTACACCATGGACTCAGGAATTACCCCTAATCAAGAATTAAGGGTTAATCACACCGATAAGACGATTAGGGACGTATTACCTAATACAGTAATCCTGTTGCAGGGCCCAGGGAAATCAGGGCCCATTAATGTCAGTATAAATAGCTCATGTCACGAGATAACATCACTGTTCATTAATTACTATCGATATCAGTGCTTTGTCTTGACTTGAGCGTTGGAGTGCCTTTTGCAGGTACCCTCCCTCTCATCGAAATATTCGTTTGGAGCTCTCATTCGGCCTTCAGAGTACGAGAAGATTACTAGTGTGCCCTTCAGACAGGTACATTTTGGCACCCACCGTGGGGCCGAATTGAGAGTTTTGAGAGAAGAAGTTGACAAAATCAAAGCAATGGCTAAGACAAGGAAGACAAACACAGAAGACGACCGATCCAAAGGAGAAGAGGAACATGTGGAAGTGGTGGACGAAACGAACCTTTCGGAAACCATTCGTCAGCTAAAAGAGGAGATGGCCGCCATGAGGCATCAAAGAGAAAAAGACGCTAGAGAACTTTCGGCATTGAAAGCTGAGAATGCCGCCCTAAAAAGTCAAGACCCCTCTTGGAAACCCACTCAGCCGACCCATGAACAAACATAAGGATCGTCCCAATCCTTGGAAATCCATACTTCGGCCCCTCGCGCTTCGGCTGTCGCGCCAAAAAAATCTCGACAATTGGACGGTCGACAAGCGTAGAACCTGTTAGCGTTCATCGGCACCCCTTTACCTCGTCTATCATGCAATCACCTTTGTTAGACCACTGGAAAGCTCTTCCAATAGATAAGTATGATGGCACTACGGATCCCGATGAACATATTGACGTGTTCCTTACTCAGGTGACATTGAATACCACGGATGATGTTGCCTTATGTCGGATTTTTCCGACATCCTTGAAAGGACGAGCCTTAAGCTAGTTCACTCGGCTTTCACCCAACTCGATTGACTCCTTTAGTACTTTATCATCACTATTTACCATCCAGTTTGCTACCAGTCAGCCACACTAGTTAACTTCCTTGTCACTGATCAGCATTCGACAGGATAAGAAAGAGTCGCTACGAGCCTTCATGGATTGGTTCAACAAGGCAGCCCTTGAAATAAGGAATCTCAATCCAGTCGTAGCACTTCACCACCTTACCACGGCTTTGAAGCCAGGGCCCTTTGTTAACAACATTTGCAAAAAAAACCCCATTGACATGGATGATTTACGGAGAAGGGCTGACAAATATATGCAGATGGAAGAACTGGCTGATTTCCGCAACCAAGCCCGAGCCGAACTAGTAGGCAAAGCCGAAAAGATGA